GAAACCGGCCTGGTTCTCACGCGTACACCGTTCACTTGCGGCAGACAATCGACAAGTTGGCTGTTAACCGGGATCCAATCGAGAAGTGAACACTCGGCCTTGACACTTAGCGCAATCCCAACGCCAGCAACACCGCCACCTTCGGATGCCGAATCATCTGACATACGAAGAGTGAAGCTTGAGGATGAGACCGAATCTGGAGAGCGGAGGGAGATGGCTGAAGTAGGATCTTGTACGCGTGTTTCGGAGACAGCATACATCTAAATGGAAGGTTTCAAGGGTTCTGGCTAAGGCGGCTTGTTGACCGATCTGGTAGAGTGTGCGGACATTGAGTGCGGCTAAGTGAAGAGGGGATTTTGGTTTCACAAATCTGGCAGCCTCTGAGTGGTTGACCTTATTAGTTGAACGCTGAGTAATATGCGATGGGTCTCGTAAGCAGGAGGCACCTAGGAATATTCGGGATTGAGAAGAAGAACTAGACAGAAGGGAAAGATGGTTTTCCAAATGGGTACCCAAGACTTTAGGGCACGGCATATTTCGCGGCAGCCCACACCGACGAAGGGGTTTTTCTTTGGGAACCCTAACCGGAGCCATCGACTCAAAAGTTTGACCCACAAGGCAGTGGGGCGTAAATCCAACGCGGGAGCATGAACGGAGCACCCGTGTGCGAGCTTCTAGAGACCTGTCACGCAAGACCTTTGAATTTCGATTAATTATGTTGTTCGCTGGTGCGTTAATTATCGATCAGCTTTTCGGGAGCAGCCCTCAGCCTCATGCACCCAATGAGATAAGCGGAACGTGGACGGGACAGCACCTTATTGGCTGGGGGCTGCCCAGCTTAGGCAGGCGGTAGCTGTCCAATGAAGTGTGAAGACTTCTCCCACCGTCGAGAGGAAGCTCCAGGTACCCCGCTCCTACGTCCATCTAGCGGGGGTTTTTGACCGGTAAACTGCCCCTCACCGTGTTCATTTACTGGAGTGACCTCTCCAGGGGCGAGTGTGGATAGAGGAAAGAAGCCAGGGGGTGTCCAAGCAGCTGGCTTTGTGAGACTGAGGTTCGTCTG